CTTTGTTATAATACCACTAACAGTTGACCAAGGAATATTTAGTAGCAAGGAAATTTCACGGATAAACTTATTGCACAGATGGCAACCTACCACACTGGAATTCACTGAGCTCCTGAGATCGACCCATTCTTTCACAAATGTTTGAAAAGCAGTCTGCATGCCTAGGTGCTTGATTTTATACACCTGTGGCCATGGAGGTGATTATAACACCTAAATCCAATGATTTGGAGGGGGCTGGCCCAGTACTTTTGGCAATATAGTGTATTTCCTATCTTTGTGTTAAAATGGAACTAAAGTTCTGTTTTCAAAAACTACAAGGAGGCAGGCTCTTTATTTTAGAAGACACATGCAATGTCTCTTCTGCAATAAAAGAACCCTACCTGCCTACTCATGGTCTGCTTTAGAATGTACACTGAGCTATACATTCGGGCATAGCACCTGTGCCAGGATGACTGCACTCCTGCTGCACCGCACCGGCTGAAGAAGATGACTGTAGTCTAGCACTCAGAAAAAAAAAAAAAACAGGTAGAAGATGCTATCACCGCCAAGGGGATGTCATAGCATGAAGGATAGGTAAATATCACAGAGTTTGACTCTACTGGAACCTTGTAAATTAAAAGCTAAAAATGAGCCTGAAGGGTCAATGCACTTCCATACCATGAACATGACCAGCGGCTGTGCCTCGTGAGTACGCTGAGGGCCCACACATCCTGGAGCATTTGGAGACAGAAAGCGAGTGCTAGCTGCTGGAGGAGCAAGATATGGAAAGTATACTTTGTTTATTCTTCCCCCAAACAGAGAAAATAGCCCTTGCAATAAAGTGGAAGCCCCACCCCAAAGAACATTTTTTAATTTTCAGCTTCGTAAACCTACGACTCCATTTGCACCTATGCAGGCACGATGGTGCATGCGTTTTTGCGGGTCGAATTTGGGGTAGTCCTTTCAATCCTCTTGGCTGCCCTACGTGTTAAAATTCCACAAAAGAAGTGCATGGTCCTTTTTTTTTTAAAAAACGCGACACACCAAAACGTATGGTAATTTGTTACCATGTGTTCCAGCATGCATTTTTCGCAAGCAATTTAGCAAGATGTATTAAGGTGCCATTAAAATTATTGTTACTTCTTGTGCTTGCAAAAGGGATGCGTGTTTTTGTGTGCTGTGGGCAACTTGATTTTGCATGCATCCCTGCATGCACAGATGGAAATGTAGCCTTTTAGGCAGGCCATAGACGGGCCGTTTATCGACCAAACGTTCGGCCGATAAACGAAAAATCGGTTGGCCCCGTTGCTGATGCTGCCACCAATGTCCACAAAAAATAGCCGTTTTTTTGCAGATTTTCCAGCATGACCGATAAAAATAAATGAGGAGATCCGCGAAAAACGGCTGACTGGCTGGCCCCACTAACGGCGTAAATATCGCTCGATTTTTTCGTGCGGACGAAAATTCGGCCGATAAATGACCCATCTATGGCCTGCCTTAATTACATCAGTTAGAAGCTATGGATCTTTTACAAGCAAGTCAGCACCATTTTCAACACTGAATATTCAGACTTATTGCAATTCAGGGCTAGTTCTCTTAAAGCAGAACTGCACTACCGCACTGCATCTGAGCACCACAAACAAAATCAATATTTCATTCACTTTTAACATTCAAAGCAAAGTTGATTTATTTTGCTGAGAAATCACATTGAAAAACATCCCGCCTAGCTTCTCTGCCCATGGCCATCTTGAGTAAGGCTAGTTCACACCTATACAGTTTACGTTTGATCCGTTTCTGCAGTGCATTTTGCGTTGCTTATTTTGCACATGCGTCTTTGACGCGTTTTGCAATTTTTTATTTTATTTTCTATTTATTTTGGCCAACTTATTGCTGGGCAAATTAAAAAACAAAACACATGAAAAATGCTTCACAGATGCATAAAAATGCATGCAAAATGCAGCACTTGTGTTTTATATGTGCTTATATTGAAGTCTATTGGACTAAAATGTAATCTGCTGCTGGAAAAGAAGTCCCTACACTTTCCAAAAAAAACGTGCCTGCAAAAAACGCATAGATGTGAACGTGATCCATACAAAATCATGATAAATGGCATGCACTGCGTTTCTGCAAAATGCAGAAAAAAAACGCACAGGTGTGAACCTGGCCTAAGGGCAGATGATTCATGCAGCATTTACTTTCTGGAATCCATCTACCCATGGCTCAGGCATGCATGCATGCAGGAGGGTGTCCTTAGCAAAGAAAAACCCCTCCTACCCTCCTGAAGACTCCTGGGATGTATGACATCATTTGCCTAGGCCTGGAAACCAGGAAGTAACTGAAGAAACATAAAAAAAGGTTTAAAACAAATAAACATGATATACTTTCCTAATGCTAGCAGCATAAGGATTAAAAATAGTCAGTGTTGGCTGAGAAGGTTTTGCCCTGGTTCACAAGTTCTGTTTTAGCCCTGGTTCACATCTGTGCGGTCGTGTGGGCTGCAGTTTGCGCGGGCACGAGAGCCCATTTATTTGAATGGACTTCCTGTGCTCCGGGACACGCAGGGAAGAAGTCCCTGCACTACTTCGGAAATCGCAGCGCACGCACGGGAACCAAGTTTCCCAGTATGGTTGTGATTTCCAGTGTGAGCGGTATACCATTAGAATGGCACCTGCCTGCGGGTCCTGCATTCCTCTGTGTGGGTGGTGCGGCTACAGGTATTTGTGTGCGGGTCTAGCAGCGGCACCACTCGCACAGATGTGAACCAGGGGTTAGGGTCATTCACACTATAGAAATGCAGTCCAGAGGCGTTCTGGATGTGTTTCTGCATGTGTGTTTTTAAAGTGTTTTTGGTGTGTTCCGGTGCGTTTTAGATACGTTTTTGACACATTCTGGTGTGTTTTTGATGTATCCCAGTTCATTTTTTCCCCATTCTTTTTCTTCAATTTAAATAGGGACATGTGCATTCCAGTGCATTTTTGGTGTGTTCCAGTGCGTTTTTCTGCGTTCCAGTACAGGAAAAATGCAACCTGTTCTACTTTTTTTTTGTGCAACTGGAACTGCAAGCACTGATGTGAACTATGACACTGACTACCATATAACCTACTGTACTTTCTGTGCATTTTGGATGCAGAAAAAAAGCACACTGAAATGCATGTAGTGTGAACTGGCCCTTAACCACCTTCCCGCCCGCCATATAGTAATATGACGGGCGCAAGGTGGTTCTCTCGTTCTGGGAGGACGTCCATGTCCTCCCATTCTCACCACGCATGCGCGACTCAGGGAGCGTGCAGCGCAGCGATCGGCGGTGCGCTGTGTCCCTTCGGACACAGCGGATCACCGATCACGGAAAGAGCCGAAGCTGTCGGCTCGGTCATGTGATCAGATGTCTCCAATCACAGCTGATCACATGTAAACAGGGAAATGCCAGTTATCAGCATTTCTCTCCTCTCGAGCTGTCACGCTGACAGCTCGAGAGGAGAGGAGAGCCGGTAATTGGTTTTCCGCGGAGGGGACATGTACACTGATCATCAGGGCACTGATGATCAGTGTGCCCTGATGATCAGTGTAGCCCCAGCAGTGCCACCTGTCAGTGTCCATCAGTGCCTAGTGCTCATCAGTGCCTCATGCCAGTGCCCATCAGTGCCACACAATGCCACATATCAGTGCCTACCAGTGCACATCAATGCCACATATCAGTGCCCATTTGAGCTGCCTTTCATGTCACCCATCAGTGCCACCTATCAGTGCTGCCAATCAGTGCCAGTTCAGTGACGCCGATCAGTGCTGCCTATCAGTGCCACCTAACAGTGCCGCCTTTCAGTGTCGCCTTTCAGTGTGCCCATCAGTGATGCCCATAAATGCCCTTCAGTGCCTCCTCATTAGTGCCCATCAGTGCCACCTATCAGTGTCCATCAGTGCAACCTCAGTGCCCATCAGTGCAGCCTCATTAGCGTACATCAGTGAAGGAGGAAAATCACTTATTTACAAAATTTTATAACAAAAACTAAGAAAAAACTTTTTTTTTTGAAAAATTTTCAGTAGTTTTTGGTTTAAGAAAAAACAAAAAACCCAGAAGTGATTAAATACCGCCAAAATAAAGCTCTATCTGTCACAAAAAAATGATAAAAAATGTCATATACTCCTAGATTGTAAGCTCGAAAGAGCAGGGCCCTTGAACCCCTCGTGTAGTGTATTGTTTCTGTCTTGTCTCATGTTATGTCCCCCTTGCTACTGTACATCGCTGAGCATACCCTTTGGCACTATATAAATACTGTATAATAATAATAATATGGGTACAGTGTTGCATGACCGCGCAATTGTCATTCAAAGTGCAACAGTGCTGAAAGCTGAAAACTGGCCTGGGCAGGAAGGGGTATAAGTGCCCTGTAGGCTAGTGGTTAAAGCAATATTCCTTCCAAACGTTTCGAAGTGTTACAAACCATATCTGGAGCACTAATATCTGGACATTGCAGTATAAGGGCAGCTTATTGGTCGTGCAGGACTGGACACCTTATGACCTGGGTCTCAGCACTTTGCTAAAAAAAAAGCCTCCATTATCCTGAGACATGAGCGCTCGATCACAGGTGTGTACTTACCTACGTAATACCGCCCGGCTCACTGATCACGGAGGTCACAGAGCAGGAGCAGGAAGCCGAGGCTCTCCAGGCGAAGCGATGGTCACCATGGAAACCAGATCCTGCGACACGGGAAGGAGGTGTTTGCGTTCCAGCGTGCAACGCAAGGCAGACAGCTGACTGGCCAGGTTCCTATCTGGTGTGTAAGACAGCAATGCTATCCCCTCCAGTCCTGGTATACTGCACTAGGGAGTGGGACCTCTGTGTTACTGTCTGGTATCCGGGACACCTAGGCCCCATCTATATGATAACATCCAGAGTACATGCATGTCTCCTGATAGACACGTCACTACCCGGGGCCAGCCAATCAGCTGGAGATGGAAGTGTGGGACACGCCTCGCGGCGGGGGAGTGCGGCTGAGTGTGAGCGGGACAGCGGACGGACAGGATGGTGCTCTCCAGTTCCCAGCACATCCTCCTGGCAGTGTCCCTGGCACTGTGCCTGTGCTTCCTAGTGCCCAGAATGATAGGAGGGGGAGGGGAGGCGGCCAAGAAAGATCCCAGGAGGATGGCACATCCCTACCGCGGACACTCAGGTAACCAAGAATGGGGTGTACACGGCTTATTGGACTCTCCTCTACCTGTTGACACAACAACTCATCGCTTTGGTCTGCAGACTTGTTTGGCTGGCTCTACTTTCAGTCATATTATTAGGAAGCCAAATATTTGTCATCTAATAATAGCAGGGCTGTGTGACTGCACATGGCTTGTCTTCCTGAATGTCAGTGCTATTGTTTATATAGTCTAGAAATGTCACAGAGAATTCCTGGTGAATGGATGGAGGGGGAATGGGTTAGACCGAGGGTCAGAAACCAGAAGATCGCGGTCAGGTGACTGGTAGATCGCGGTCTGGGCTTGGTGACCTGCCATCAGAGTTCGAGAGAGGACTACTTGTAAAGTTGGAGCTGTAGTAGGGAGCAAGAGCCGCATAAGTTCATGTCTCCTCTGGTGCCTATGCCTTGTCATGGTTGGTGGGTGTAGCACCTGCCAAGCATGACCCATTCAAGTGAATGAGGCCGCTCTGCAAGTGCCCTGCAACCTTGTGCAGTAGAGCAAACAAAGGGTTAAAGCGGAGTGCCACCCAAAAGGGGAAGCTTTAAGGCAGGGTTGTCAAACTCCATTTCATCGCGGACCATATCGGCATTATGGTTGCCTTCAAAGGGCCGGTTGTATCTGTAAGACAAGATGTCCAGAGCACCCCACCTCGCATTTCATCAGATGTCAAGAATCCCCCACCCACCCTAACATCTCCGTGCAACCCCTTTGGGGGCAGAGCTGGAAAGCAGAACGTGCAGGGTCTGGAGGAGGACCAGAGGAATAGTGGAGTCAGTTACCAGAGCCCTGCTGAATGCTGAGACCAGGGGAGGCAGAGATGAGGGGGTGCTGCAGCTGCACTGAGAGGTGCAGGATTTGGCAGAGGAGTTCTATTCTCCTCTCTGCTGGACCACATGAAATGGCCTGGAGTGCCAGATTCGGCCTGCGGGCCTTGTGTTTGGCACCTGTGCTTTAAGGCTTTGCCACCCCCTGCTCCCCGTTAAGGATTGGCACCTTTGGGGACCGTGGGGGGGGGTACCCTCTTCCACTTCCGTTGCGATTGGAAGCGGAAGTTGTCCTCCCCACATGACAGGTCCCACAAGACTATGAGACCATTCACAAATCTCAGCACTACTCCTGCATGTGCAGTGGGCAACCGGCTGTGAAGCTGCAAGGTGTCAGGGTGGAGACAGGGTGGTCGGTCAACCTGGCCAGTGTGAGGACACTACGGGATCCTGGGACAGGTGAGTGTTAGTTTTTGTAGCTGCTGACTTTTTTTTTTTTGTTAATTCCGACTGGACTTCCGCTTTAAACAAGCAGTGGTGTGTTGCTTTCTCACCACCTGCCCCTCACTCCTTGGACTCCGCAGAAGCGTACAGTTGCAGGTCACCTGCAGAGTGTCCTCATTTACTTAAATGGGTCTCGATTGACAGGCAGTAACACCCACCAAAAGTAACAGAGGGTGTAATTTCTGCTGCAGCATTTGTACACCTTTGGCTGCTGTCACAGCAGCTAAAGTGGGTAGGGACTGGGGACAGTAAAACTGTGACTCAACCGCAGGGTTTTTGACAACCCCCCCCCAAACATTACATGTGAACGAGCCCCAAGAGTGCCACTGCTGGGTACAAGTAAGGGCTGATCCACAAGTGCTGTGGACATCACTGCTCCTCTGCAAAATGATCTTGAGTGTGTTTTGATAGGTGGTGAGGAGGCAATATGTGAGTGCCTCCTAACCACCTGATTTAAACCCATGATTGCTATGCAATGCATGTGACTGTGACACAATAGTATGGCAATTGGAGGTTTAAATCAAGTGTGAGGAGGTGACACTGGCCGACACTGTTCCCGGTAAACTTTGACTTCTCCCATGTTGTTAAGGTAGATCACCACTTCTATAAGGTTGCCTACCCCTGGGTTCGGCACCCTGTCAGCTTTCACTTGTGGTATGCGTCCATGCTAAGGGCTTCCCCATCCCTATCACTGTCTCTCTAAAGTGGTTGTAAACATTAGACGTGAAATATGAACAAAGTATATACCTCTATAGTGTGTACTTGTCTCAGTCCAGAGCATGAATGTCTAGTACACACAAACAGAAAATTGCACAGAAAAAAAAGCGATTGTACGATAATCTGATCGATAGTACATGGCTTTCGGCTGAAATTATTTGAAGCATGAACATTTTTCTTGTATGATAACAGATCGTACGATTTTTGTTTAATCAGCACAGTTTTCGTCCAACAATACAATATAAATACATTACATCACTTCTGAATTTTCTTTCTGTTGTACAAGAATTTTCGTAACCTCTAGCATGCAACAAAAAAAAAAACAAAACAGGATCATCTTCCAGTATTCTCATTGTGTGTACCAGGCTTAAGTGTCATATCTGTCTGCTGCTTCATTCCTCTGCTATCAGCATGAGTCACTTCTGACAAGGGACCTCCAGCAAACTGACAGCTTCACCTCTGTTCCTGTTTGAAGGGGGTGTGACTCTTCCATCCAATCAACTCTCAGAGCTCTCTTCAGTCCTGCAGTGTGTAACTTAAGCTCTCCACCCCCACCCCACCCTCCTTCTTTTTTTTTTTTTTTTTTCCTTTTTTTCTTTTTTTTTTTTTACTATCAGACAAGCTTATAACTTCTGCACTTTGGATGAATGTAGAGAAGAGAAGACTGCAGCAGGTGCAACTTATGTAGCAGGATTTGTTTCATCTCTGTATCACCTGAGAATAGTCCCTTCACCGGGTATATATGAGAGTTTACAACCACTTTAAAGTGATAGTAAATTCCATAGTAAATGAAAATCTCCAGGTCCTCCACAGGTTAAAGAGGAACTACAGGCAAAGCAGCTTCAACTACAAAAATGCCACTTTATGCCGTAGAAATAGCAAGCATCCTATTTGGGATTTTTTTTCCACTAATCTGATCTTTTCAGTTAAAAAAATTATTTTCTCCCACCCACTCTTACTGTGTATGCGGACATATTAACTGGGCAAATGAAGCTCTGGCTGCTCTATTCCAGGTATTCAATCCACTTCCTCTGTCCCTCAAGCGCTGTAACATTTTGCTCATGCGCAATAAATCATGTTCTGGTTGCACCTGTGCACTAAGCATAGTGTTTCCAACCTTCTGTGCTCATGTTTTTATAGCAACTGCAGAAAACCTCTGCTGTGGCTGCGATAGCAACATGTTTACAAGGAGATGGAAGCGCATGCACAGCGAGGGATCAATTGCATCTGTGCAGTGAAGAAAAAGTGCTTCCAGCTCTTTACTTACATGACGGTATAGCAGCAGATGTGCGCTGCCCCTGCTATAGTAACTTTACACAAAGAACTGGAAACCATGGGACACGTGAAGGTATGAAACTGATATATATGTAGATGGAGAGAGATGGCGAGGGCTAGAGCGAAATAAATGGCAGGGGTGAGATGGTGGGAGCGAGAGATGGCGGGCGGGGGCGGGCGAGGGCAAGCGAGAGATGGCGGGGGGGGCGAGGGCGAGAGATGGCGGGGGTGGGCGAGGGCAAGCGAGAGATGGTGGGAGCGGGCGAGAGATGGCGGGTGAGAGACAGCTGACGAAAGATGGCAGGCGAGATATGGTGGGAGTGGGCGAGACATAGTGAGGGCATGTGAGAGAGGGCAAGGCGAGAGATGAATAGATAGAACCTGATGACTTCTGGGATTTGTGACTATTGTATCCCAGGAGTCATGAAGACTGCAGCAGCCTACATCATTCTCCTAGGAGCGTAACATACATAGAGGAAGTACATGAGAAAAGGTATTTACTGACACCAAAACTTTAGAATTTTTTTTTTTTTTATGCAAAATAGTAAAGGAGGGGCAGACAATTGCTACTAAAGAAACTTAAAAAAAAATTACCGAAGGTCTGCTTTAATGCCATCTAATGTGCTGATATAACTGCTCACCACACACTAGCACATTAGGCAGACTTACCCTACCTGAGCCCTGCAGGGATATGCTGTCATGGCTGTAGGTACCTCCATTTTCTCCAGTTTTCCTTCCCGAAAAGTTTGTGCTCTCCGGCCCTTTGAGTGTCCGGGTCACAATGATGTCACTTCCATGTATGCACACAGGAATCACATTTGCAGCGCAGTGTTCTCTGCATTGAAGGCTACATCAGTGTGCCCAGAATGCAGAACACAATGTGCATGTGCTGTGACATGATCAGCTGCAGCCAATGTGAATAGCTCATAAACATGTATGCAAAGAAGATATTCACTGTACCTACAGATGAGCCTTTATTATAAGTTTACGAACACCTTAAAGTCAAATGTATTTTCTTAAATCAGATAAAAATAACATAATTCACATGCATGTAATTTTTTTTTTTTTTTTCCTCATTTTCTCCTTGGAGCTTCCTTCTTCAGAGTATCTCCACCTCCATGCTAGTATACATTCCTGGGATGTCGTCTTCAGCAGCTCAGGTTCCTGTACACGTCACAAGCACAAATTTGAAAAGAAAGATGGAGTCCAATTAACAATCCTTCACAGTACTTGATTTGAATAAAAGAGAAGTGATCTGGGACACCCAAATAAACCCCGCAGAATACTAACATGTTTCAGCCAAAGCCCTTTAACACTGGGGGGAATCTGATTAGACCAGCAGGAGATCTGTCTGCTGATTGGAGCAGAGCGGGAGGATGACGCATCCGTGTACAGTTTATGTAGAGCAGACACGGACACAGCCTGCTCTGCTTTAAGGGACCAGAAGGAGTCTTTTTACACCTAACTGCCCTCCAAGCCGATCCACCTAGACAGAGAAAAGTGGGGGGGCGCATCCATTCTGCTAAAAAAAACAGAAGGGGGTCGAATTGGAGGTAGGCAGGTGCAAACGGGCACAAGTCCGTTTTACACCCGTGGGTCCATAGGAGTGAATGGAGGGTCTGAGCGGGTGTGCCTGAAAAACTTATACTAAGGGTCCAACTGGGTCTGCCTGTCAAAGGGGCCTTAGTCTTAGCTTTGCAGCGCAAGAGGGGAACAGAGCA